TTTAGTTCTAGAAATCAAAGCCACAAGTAACTGGAATAAACATAAAAGCACGAGATCCTCCCTCGACAACCAAAAGATCCAGAAAATATACGCCCTAGGCTACGTTCAGCTCGTGATAGCTTAATTAAGTGTGTACGCCCATTTTTGTAGCACCACGAGCCGCCCCTGAATATTAACACAAATAACGATCGTTCACTGTAAGTCACAAAAAACAATATTCAGAAGCAACTGTCGTTCGTTGTCTAAGTCTGAAATGAAATCTGTGCTATTTACACACTCTAATCCAAGAGGTCCCGAGTTCGAATCCGGATAGTGATGGAAAAGAATATTTTCTTCTCTAACCTTTTCTCCTTTCACATCCTTTCCTGCTCTCTAACAATGGGCTATGGTCTGCTTTCGTCTCCACTTTCTGCCCCCACCCCCTCACCTTGTTTTCCCCCTCCTCTGGACTCCTGTCTCTTTCTGGGGCCTTTATACTTCTACTCCTTTGCTACTTCTTACTGCCTTCTTTTAGCCACACCCCTGATCTTATGGTAGGAAAGATCAACACCTAGCCTTCTCGGACAAGGGCGAAAAATATCGGATGTCCCGTGTGCAAGTTGCAAACATTAAAGATCCCTTGGTGGTCTAAATATGGTACAAAGCGCACACTGATAAGCTTTAAAAAAATTGTCGGCTTGAACTTTGAACCCACCTTCTTTCACAACGATCAAGAGTTTATATTGTTAATACACTTCTGAATTGAACTTTGTACCTGCTTTCTATGAAAACGATCCCTTTCCAAGAATAAATAATTTCTGTATAATAATATTAATAAGGGCATTTGCTTTAATTCAAATCGGTTTTATCATTCCACCTATCTAGTCTGTGCTTACTTTTTAAACCCGAAGTGCCAGTATTATTTGATGAGAGTTTCTGTATAATATAATAAGCTGTTGCAAATGTCCCCATTACACATGTATAATTTTATTTCATCTATAATTATAGGGCATTTATTGCTTTTAATCAGTTTCAACATTCCATACACCTAATTTGTGCTGAACTTTTAAACCTCAAGTGCCATATATTTATTTGATGAGAGTTCCGCATATTCTAGAAAACATGTTGCACAATAATATGTCCCTTTGTTGTGATTGAGGCTCCGGTGATATTTCACGAATGAAGTAGTGCATTAAACATTTTAAAAGTAGATAAATGTATGTATTTTATATGTCACGTCTCGTGGCCTAGAGGTTAAGGTGTTGGCCTTTCATTCAAAGGTCCAAGTTCGAATCCGGGTAGCGACCGAAAAATTTTCTTCTCTAAAATTGTCTCGTTTCATCTCCTTTCCTGCTTTCCAGAAATGCTCTGTCGTCTGCTTTCTGCCCCCCACCCCCTCACCTCCTTTGCCCCCTCCTCTGGGCTCCTGACTCTTTCTGCAGCCTTTCTACTGTTACTCCTTCTTACTGCTGTCTTTCTGCCACACCCCTGATCTTCTGGTAGGAAAGATCTACACCTAGCCTTCTCGGACAAGGGCGAAAAATCTCGGAGGGCCCGTGTGCAAGTTACGCCCGTTAAAGACCCCTTGGTGGTCTAAAATCGATAAGAGTAGGCTTCGGCCGCCACCCGGGCAAAATTCAAAATTTCCTACCAACTTAAAATATTAGGTGTGCTCCGCGCGCTCATATGCCCTTATGCAGTTGCGAGTCGAGTGCCGTAAAACACTTACCCCCCCCCCCCCAAAAAAAAAAAAAGAAAAAAAAAGAAGAATAAAAAAAGAATTGTTTAGAAGTTTAGGAAGCGGGCTTCCTACTCGCAATGTCGTGGACAACTCAAGCTGAGTAGAGGGATACAACATTCCACAGAAAGACCGAGATACACGATTGCATTTAACATCTTTACAGACCACGATTCTTATGTGGACGTTTAAGGAAAAGAGATGGCAGACACAGTCAGTGAGTGGTTGGCGGGTACTGTGGTGTGGTTTGCTCCTTCTTTCCTATCAAACATCTATCGTCTTTACCTCCCCTCCTTCTTTTAGTTAGTCTCGTGGTGGGAGGATTTTTATTGAGTATATCCGTCTGTCTGCTGGGATGTCATACAACCCGTGTTGGGCATGATAGGCAGAGTAGCCCTCTTCCTAAATGACCTAAATCGGGTTGATTTGGGGGGGGGGGGCGTACAAAATCTGCAAATACAACACTGTGAGGTGTGGGTTTTACGTCTTGCCTCGCAAATATAAATACAACTTCTAAAGATCAGGTTTTTATATGCTGTCTGTTCTACTCATAGACTGCGTATGTTTTTCGAATAAACGAGATGCATGTACTTATATTTGCTCCATTATTGTCTTTTTTTCTTCTGTACTTAATATTTGAAGTTCTGAAAGTGGGTGATTGGCAGGTGCTCTGGCGTGGTTTGCTCCTTATTTCCTTTCTAACATCTATCATCTTTATCTCTCCTTCTTTTTTGTATTTATTACACTTTTGTAACAATTCTTTTCTTCGGGACTTATATCACTTAATTGTGTTGCAAATGCTGAAAAACTCTTACTGAAACTTAAAACTTTTTAGAATTCTGGTGACAGAACGGATTTAGCATTTAAATTTAGATGATAATACGAAGTCTATTGAGCTTTGCAACACAGTTTTGTTACTCTTGGAAGGAAGATCTATTCTCTCTCTCTCTCTCTCTCTCTCTCTCTCTCTCTCTCTCTCTCTCTCTCTCACCTCCTTCAACCCCCAGACAGACACGCACACACACACACACACACACACAAACACAAACACACACACACACACACATACACACACGTGCGCACACTCACACACACTCACACGAACGCACACACACGCACACACACGCACACACACATCAAAATGAAAAGTATGCATTACGTTTTATAAAGAATTCTCGCTAAAGATTAAGTACTACTGCATAATTGTGGTAGTTCAGGCAATCAGATCTGAACTGGACGTGAATGGATACAAGGGGTACAATTAGGGCACACACTCCCCCATAATTAACCCTATCCGTACTCCCTGTGGTCATTTTGTACCCGCGGGGTTGTATTCTTCACATTTTAGAATGCATGTACTTCTAGTACGAAGATCTCTTTCAAACTTTCAGTATTTCTCAAGAAATAATTTTTGACAGACTGCTATGCAAAGCGTACGGATCGGATTAACGAGCAAATTTCCTCTTTGGGAAGTGGTGGCACAGAGTTCTCCACGTCGTAAGGATACAATAATCAAACACGACCTACGGATAGGGTTAAGTAGTGGCACAGAGTACTCCACGTCGTACGGATAGGGTTAAGTGGTCATAATTTTGTAGTTTTCCCCCCGGGAAAGTAACATGGTGTAAAGGTCATCAGTTGGGGATACAGCTGTAACAAAATCTTTAGGGTACAGAGATTCAAACCGTGGTCGTTCAGTTTGAAAGTGGTGAAATGGTATTGTTTAAAGCTCTTATCAACACTAGTAGGTTATTTAAGAGGCAGGACCTACGAGTTTAACGTCCATCTCCGAAAGGACCGAGTCAAATGGGAAATTCATGTAAAGTGTTTTTCCGAAGAACACAACGTCGGGCCCAGCTGAGGATCGAACCCCCAAACCCGCAGCGTCACGATTACAAGTCTGGTAGCCTAACCACTAGACTAGCGACGCCACAATCTCACGATTACGAGTCTGGTAGCCTAACCACTAGACTAGCGACGCCACAATTTCACGATTACGAGTCTGGTAGACTAACCACTAGACTAGCGACGCCACAATTTCACGATTACGAGTCTGGTAGACTAACCACTAAACTAGCGACGCCACAATCTCACGATTACGAGTCTGGTAGACTAACCACTAGACTAGCGACGCCACAATCTCACGATTACGAGTCTGGTAGACTAACCACTACTACAGACTTCAACATAGTAAGTTAAGGACCACTTGCAAACACTCTGAGTTGGTCTTCTTGGGTCGACCTGCATGTGGACGTTCTTGGAAGGATCAAGTGGCTCGATGGCGCTGCTTTCAGCAGACAAAGACAGAGTGTGACACTGCAAGCCTTCTGGCAACTTCTCGGATTCAAACTCCATGCTATAGCCCTGGCACGATCAAAGTCTCTCAGCTTTCGTCTTGGTGGAATGTTGATGCGATACTGGATTTTGCGCAAACGGCGGCTTATATTGCCACCAAAGTGAGCACAGTTCAAGGCGTACGTCCGTTTATGACATGCACCAGAATTTTAACTGAGGAATGTCCGTGGTGTTGCACAAAAGTCGATAAAAAACAGCAAACTTGGTTAAAATTCCGCGAAGATTTCCGAGCTGCACGTGGTGGTTTTGCCACTTTAGGAAGCTCTGCAGTACGCATTGGTAACCCATTAACACTTTCAGAGCAAAAATTTTGGAACATTCCTTGCTGCCTTTTTTTTTTTAGATAAAAAAATAAATAACTGTCTGTCAAGGTGGTCCTTAACTCATGTTGAAGTTTGTAGACTACCGACGCCACTCGTTCAGTTTGGCCAAAGATCGTACATAACAAGATAGTTCACTCCTCTCTTTGAGTGAGCCAGTTAAAAAAGTGTCCTCAAAATTAGGTGGCGCCCTCTTCGAAAAAGAGCGGATTTTGCGAACAGAGTTACCTTATTTGTGTGAAAAACAATAAAAGTGAAACAACAAACAGTGCTATTACTCTTCTTCTTCTGGAAAAACGAAAGAGAGCTTCAAATTCAATATAAAGACTGCAGCGCCATCTAAATCAATGAGTTGACTTCCGCCGACACTTTTTGGCGGAGTGAACTATCTTTAATACTATCTTTGGTTTGGAGTGGAAAAACAATAAATACGTAAATAATGAAACAGGGACATCAGCGACAAAAGTCCCGAGTTCACATAAAAAAACTTTCTCATAACATCGCACACAAAAACTATGTCAAATTTCAAAACAATAAGTTTAATGAAATTCAAGCGATGTTCTGGTAACAGCGTCCATTAATTTCTTTTATCTTTCTTCAGAATACGATCAGCCGACAAACGGGTATTCGGTATTGTATGGTGAACCAGAGGTGTATGGTGAGTCACTGGTGTAGTATGGTGAACCACTGGTGTATGGTGAGTCACTGGTGTATGGTGAGTCACTAGTGTAGTATGGTGAACCAGTGGTGTATGTTGAGTCACTAATGTAGTATGGTGAGTCACTAGTGTATGGTGAGTCACTAGTGTAGTATGGTGAGTCACTGGTGTATGGTGAGTCACTGGTGTATGGTGAGTCACTGGTGTATGGTGAGTCACTAGTGTAGTATGGTGAGTCACTGGTGTATGGTGAGTCACTGGTGTATGGTGAGTCACTGGTGTATGGTGAGTCACTGGTGTATGGTGAGTCACTAGTGTAGTATGGACCTTCAGTGGTAGATGGACCTTCAGTGGTAGATGGACCCTCTGTGGTAGATGGACCTTCAGTGGTAGATGGACCCTCTGTGGTAGATGGACCCTCTGTGGTAGATGGACCCTCTGTGGTAGATGGACCTTCAGTGGTAGATGGACCCTCTGTGGTAGATGGACCCTCTGTGGTAGATGGACCCTCTGTGGTAGATGGACCTTCAGTGGTAGATGGACCCTCAGTGGTAGATGGACCCTCTGTGGTAGATGGACCTCCAGTGGTAGATGGACCTTCAGTGGTAGATGGACCCTCTGTGGTAGATGGATCTTCACTGGGATACGAGTTAGATGTAAATCCCCCTCAGTGGTAGATGGACCTTCAGTGGTAGATGGACCCTCTGTGGTAGATGGACCCTCTGTGGTAGATGGACCCTCAGTGGTAGATGGACCTTCTGTGGTAGATGGACCCTCTGTGGTAGATGGACCCTCTGTGGTAGATGGACCCTCTGTGGTAGATGGATCTTCACTGGGATACGAGTTAGATGTAAATCCCAACTTCATGGCTCCTTGGTCAAAGTCCCCGCCTATAGCTTTTGTGTAAGCGCCACCTGTTGGGAAAAAAAATGTACAAGCTTAGCACTGATGGTCAACTGAATCTGCCCCCGTGGTTTTATGCACCCCGCGAAATTTAGCAAAATTTGATCATTTTTTGCACAATTTCTGATTATTTTCCTTGATCATTCTTTGTTAACATTAACAGAATCGCATAATTTTACATTTTTCGGCTCAGAACGACGGGGACAGCTGAATAGACAATGGCTACTCATTAAGCAAAACGCTCTGGTTTTGGACGGATTAGGGAATGGGGTCTTGATGGAAACAAAACATTGGGGGAAGAAAGTGGGGGTGGGGGGTGGGGGGTGTGGGGGGTGGATGTGGGAGGAGGCTTGATGATGATGATGATGATGATGATGACGATGATGATTTTTGTTTCCTTCATGGGCCTGGCGGACTCCACGAAGAAATCTTCGAGCGAGAGCGAGGCTCTTTTTCGGCTCCATTGTCAATATGCTTAGCGGCACCTCCACTCGTCCAAATAACTCCATTCGAATTGCCATTGTTCCTGGACATTCAAAAATATGTTTGACATCTTCTTTTTCATGGCTGCATTTTCGGCAACATTGGCTGATCTTTTCATTTACAAAGTTCTTATATCATCTTAAGCTCCAATGATGATCCGACCGCAGTCTCGCAAGCTCAACCTGATCCCAGCGACAAGTGATGTTTTGTTCCCGCTTATAGGAGTACCCAGAAGAAACGTCTTCCAGGTGCTGGTACTTAGCTCTGCATGGTGGGTCTCTGATTTCCCTCTTGATTATTGGAAAGACTCCTCTGTATGTTGTTGTTGATGATGATGATGATGATGATGATGATGATGATGATGATGATGATGATGATGATATATACAATGACATAAATGACAACACGCTGAATTAATCTCTTACCGTCATTAGTAAATGTAGATATATCAACCTGAGCTGGATTATACGGGAGAAGGCACTATAAACATTAACTGCATTTTTATTTTTGTAATACGTATTCTATAGACATTTTTCTCTCTCAAAATTACCAATCTCCTCCCTCCTTCTTACCTTGCATTGTCCCTAGGACGAAGAGTAAAAGCCAACATTGTGAAGTCTTCATGGTGTCTTGATCTAAAGTTTCTATCGTATAGAAGCACTGCTAAGATCCCAAGGGTTTTCCCGAAGATGAAGAGAATCGAGCAGGGTCCAAGTATTTATTGGAGAAACGGATTCTAAAAATCGTGATGGTAATGACGTAGATTTTCAACTTTTCAACAGCCGAGATATAAGTGTTTGAATGTTGATGTAAGTTTTTTTTCTACAGGGGCTAATGGATGATCTATCGCAAATGTTTTTAACCTACTATAAATACACAAACTGCTATTTTTAGGTGACCTCGTGCAATGAAATGCAAATTGTTATGAGTTGTGTAAACAAACTTTAGTTAGGATCCGTAAATATTATTTTAGCTACTTGAAATGGAGTACTCTTGCCGACTTCCTTATCTGGAACCCTTTTCTCCTATCTGTCTGTATCCCCCCCCCCCTACTCCCCACACACACAAATCTCTTTCTGTCTGTTTGTTTGTCTGTCTGTCTGCCTGTCTGTCTGTCTGTCTGTCTGTCTGTCTGTCTGTCTGTCTGTCTGTCTGTCTGTCTGTCTGTCTGTCCCCCAAACCTCACACACACAAATACACACACACACACATAGTTACACACACATACAACTTACACACACTTACACACATATACACACACGCATTCACATATACACACATGCACACACACATACACACACACACACACACACACACACACACACACACACACACACACACACACACACACTCATTACGAAGGACCGCCTTTGCTGTAGCTAAAAGATCGGCCAGTCTAAAAAAGTGAAAGTATCAAAGGGAGCACACTCGCTGGGACATTTCTCTACGGTTTTAAAACTACAGACACTTATGAATGAGAGATCCGTACCTAAAGTAACTCGCAATGAAATGTCGGGATAGAAGAGACTCATGTGCATAAATTGTGAGACAACATGGTGAAATCAGGCGCTCGTCAAAACAATTATATCAAAGAAACCAGCATTTTTCTGGAGGTTGGGAAATTTTTAAAGAATTTTCTTTTGTTGGCTCAACACCTTTTTTTTGTCTATTTACAAAGACATTTTGTGTGAATTTTACCGGAAAACATTGAATGAAGGTTTTAAAAAATGTAAATTTTCAGTTTCCCAGGACTCTCAGGCTGAGCCTACCCATTTCTCTCTGTGGGCCGAGCTTTCAGGTCACGGTAGTTACCAAACCTTTTACTAATTTTATTTCTGAAACTTCTTGGCGCTCATTTGACCTTATGCAGTTGCGAGCGCCGTAAAACCTCTACTAAAACTAAAACTAAACTCTGAAACTAGGCAACTCTGACCTCCTTCAATCGCAAATATATCGACTTCTATTCAACATAGATGGATTTTTTTTTCACTTTCCACCAAAATGAAGATAAATGAACAAACTTTAAGATGATACCAATAACCTGTCCCTGTGGTTTTATGAACCCCGCATAATTTATCAAAATTTGATAATTTTTTGGTATAATTTAATTTCAGAATTTTTCTTGCATAAAACGACGGGGACAGAATAACCTCATATGCCACAAAACTGACGAGCGCATGATTCCACCACGTCGTGACACAATTAATTTACTAAACAGAATAACCTCATATGCCACAAAACTGACGAGCGCATGATTCCACCACGTCGTGACACAATTAATTTACTAATCATGCCATCTACAGTATTTAGTTTAGTTGTAGTAGAGGTTTTACGGCGCTCGTAACTGCACAAGGTCATATGAGCGCCAGAAGATTAGTGGTGTTACAAGAGAGTAACAAAAATAAAAAAGAAGGAGAGGAGATAAGGACGATAAATGTTTGATAGGAAAGAAGAAGCAAACCACACCAGAGCTCCTGCCAACCACCCACAATCTACAGTATGAGCGCAATTTTGTTTTTCCTGTGCAGTTCTTTCACCTCTACTATATTTGGATTCTTTCTACCCAATGAA